CGAATCGTACGGTGTCGAATAATTTGGTGTCGAATAAATCTGTGTCGAATCGAGCGGTGTCGAATCGTACTGTGGTCAATAGAGTATCACCCAGGAGAAACCCATCATTTTAAGTTTGTTTATGAGTATATTGTGCTGAACCCTGTCAAAAGCTTTAGAGAAGTCAAAGAATATTGAGACAGTGACTTTCCTGTTATCAGCAGCATACCTAATGTCTTCAAGCATTCTGATGACACACGTCTGAGTTGACGAGTTTTTCCTATACGCAAACTGGTAAGGATCTAATAAATTGTTTTCCGTCAAATATTTAATTATTTGGTCCGAGACTATCCTTTCAAGAGCCTTGGAGATAGTAGGCAAAATTGCAATGGGCCTGTAGTGTTGTACAGCAGTTAAATGTTCGATTTTCGGTATTGGAGTGATTAAGGCAGACTTCCAGATCTTAGGAACACTTCCATCCATCAATGAAAAGTTGTAGATGTTCTCAAATACAGGCATTAGATACGGTAGCACTATTTTTATTACTCCAGCAGAAATACCATCAGAACCAATAGCATTAGACGTAATTCTGGCAAAGGCCTTTGTAATAGTTGCAGGTAGCACATATTTAAAAAATAATTTGTTTTCGTTAAAGTCATCTTTCGAAGAGCAATTTGCATTAGTTGTTTCCAAAGAGTCAACATTCTGCGAGTCAGTTGTGCCTGCAAAGAACAAATTGATTTCATCAACATTGCAGACAAGAGGTTTAGTACTCTTTGCCTTAATCAAACCCAGATGTCTTAACCTGCTCCATATTAAATTAGGATTGTCACGCTGGTTGAAAACAGATAGATAATATTCTTTTTTAGCTGTACGGACAATGTTTTGAACATGGTTTCTCATAACTCTAAAATTCTCGTAGCTTGCACAATTTCTGTTTCTGCGCCAAGCTCGCTTGAGTTTGTCTCTTTGTTGCATTGCTCTTTTTATTTCATCAGTTAACCACGGCGCTGGTAGGTTCTTAAACTTAATTCTTTGCAGAGGTGCATGTTTATCTAAATAACGTATGAGAGTATGATTAAGAATATCCACTTTTTCCTCTATGTTGGTAGATGTCAACAGGTCAGTCCAGTTGTGTCCACTAATTTCCAAAATAAAGGCTTGCACATTAAAATTTTTGAAGTTTCTACATCTTATAGTTCTTGAAATACGACGCTCAATACATACTTTATATGTAATTGTAATGAGATCGTGTGCAGAGAGAAAAGGAACTGCCATCTTACCGAAATGTTTAAGTTTTAATGCATCATCCACAATGCATAAGTCAATAAAAGTGCTAGAGTTCTTTAAGTGATGCGTAGTTTCAAAAGGCACTAGATACATGCTAGAGGAAGTTATAAATGTGGATAGTTGCACACTGTCGTATGTGTTCACAGCCATATCAGCATTAAAATCTCCAAGTATCACAGAATGGCAGAAACCCACCTGCAGATCAAGAAATAAATTTTGAAATTTTTGTATATAACCGCAATTAAGAGGTCGATAAACCACAGCCAGAAGAAGATTAGATGCATGCTCAGTGCCAATTTTAACCACGATAAACTCGGGTTTGCGAAGGTTATTCTCCGTAGTAGACTGCTCTATTATACTACAGATAATAGAGTCGCGCAGATAGAGGCCAACTCCGCCACCCTGACGTCCAGTTCTATCACATCTGTGCAGTGTGTATCCCGGTAAAGCAACCATGCTATCTGAGATTTCCGGTTTGAGCCAAGTTTCCGATAGACATATAATGTGGTAACAAAAATTAGCAAAGAAATGACTAAACTCATCAAAATGTTGCCACTAAGGACTGACAATTAACATGACATATACATAAGTTCTCAGATTCGTATTTAACATGTGAACTATCCATAATTAGTGTTAGAAATTCTTTCTTTGATTTTGCTGCTTAGTATAGGACATTTCCTCACATCGAAAGCCGGATGTGCATTATTAACTATTGCATTTTTTGTGTTTCGACTGCAGTTGCAACATTTAGGAGTTAGTTCTCTATTATTGCATGCTTTCATTTCATGTGGACCCAAACAGTGTCCACAGATAAGGTCAGATCCACAATTTTTAGCGATGTGCCCAAAAGCTAGACACCTATAACATTGCAGCATTCTAATATGATCTGCAAAATTACAAGCAGAATATCTCAGAAAGATCTTGTCATTACTTAGCAGTTTGTGACGAATTTCAGGCGCAACCTCTAACACACAACTTGTGTGATGCTTTCCAACTTTAGGCTTGTAAATATATATCACTTTTACGTCCGAAGTTACGTCGCTATCAAGGTTTTGCGCAATGAGCTCCTCTTTTATCTCTTTCAAAGTCATTTCCAAAGGAACTCCGTGTACGATAAGTCTCGGATTCAGCTTAATGTTCTCAATCACTCTTAAACCTTCCCTAGCCAGGTCAGGATTTGCCTTGCGAGAGAAAGTAAGAGAGAGTGAGAGAGAGTGCGAAAGAGAATGAGAAAGAGTGAAAGGAAGAGAGAATGATAGAGAGTGCGAGAGAGAATAAGACAAAGTGAGAGAGAGTGAAAGAGAGTGCAAGAAAAAGTGAGAGAGAATGCAAGAGAGAATGAGACCGAGTGAGAAAAAGTGCGAGAGTGAAAAAGAAAGAGAGTGACAGAAAGTGCCAAAGAGAGTGAGACAGAGTGCAAAAGAGTGAGAGAGAGTGAGATGGAAAATGAGAAAGAATGACAGATTGTGAGAGAAAGTGTTATAGAATGCAAGAGAAAATAAAAGAAAATGAGAAAGAGTGCGAGAGAGAGTAAAAGAATGTGACAGAGAGTGCGAGAGAGAGTGAGAAAAAGTGAAAAAGAGTGCAAGAAAGAGTGCAAAAAAGAATGACAGAGTGGGAGAGAAAATGAGAAAGACAGAGAGAATGAAAAAAAGAAAGAGTAAAAAAAATAAGTGAGAATAAAAAAAAGAATGCAAGAGAGAGTGAGAGAGAGTTAGAGAGAATGAGAGAGAGTGTAAGAGAAAATGAAAAAGAGTGAAAGAAAGTGCGAGAGTGAAAGAGAGAGAGAAAGAGTGATAGAAAGTGCGAGAAAGAGTGAGAAAGAATGAAAGAGAGTAAAAGAAAGTGCGAAAAAGAGTAAGAGAGAGTGCGAGAGAAAGTGAGAAAGAGTGAGTGAAACTGCGAGAGAGTGAGAGAAAGTGCGAGTGAGAGTGAGAAAGAGTGCAAGAGAGAGTGAAACAGACTGAGAAAGAGTGCGAGAAAGAGTAAGAGAGTGTGAGAAAGAGTGCGAGAGAGAGTGAGAAAGACTGAGAGAAATTGCGAGAGAGAGTGAAAGAGTGAGAGAGAGTGCGAGAGTAAGAGAGATTGTGAGAGACAATGAAAAAAGTGGGAGAGTGAAAAAGAGAGTGAGAGAGAGTGCGAGGGAGAATGAAAAAGACTGAGAGAAAGTGAGAGAAAGTGCGAGAGAGATGAGAAAAAGTGAGAAAGAGTGCGAGAGAGAGTGAGAAAGAGTGAGAAAGAGTGTGAGTGCGAGTGAGAGAGAGTGCAAGAAAAAGTGAGAGAGAGTGGGAGGAAAATAAGAAAGAGTGAAAGAGTGGGAGAGAGTGTTATAGAGTGCAAAAGAGAGTAAGAGAGAGTGAGAAAGAGTGCAAGAGAAACTGAGAGAGAATGAGAGAGAGAGAGTGAGAAAGAGTGCGATAGAGACTGAGAGAAAGTGAGAGAGAGTAAGAAAAAGAGTAAAAAAGATTGAGAAAGAGTGCGAGAGAAAGTACAAGAAAGAAAGAATGCGTGAAAGTGCGAGATTGATTGATTGATCTTTATTTAGCTTTCTCAGCTATTTTAAATACAGTTTTAACAAACATTTGCTATAACATATGTTTTTAACATTCTTTTAAATAATTCGAGTCTTTCTTCACTTTTTATTTCCGCTGGTAAGGCGTTGTACATTTTTATCCCTTCATAGAACATACTTTTTTGTGCGCTTTTTTTTTGAATTTTATTTTAATGTCTCCAATTTGTCTGGTTTTTCTTTCACTTTCTATTATTTCTAACTTATCTCTTAATGGTAACAAATTTCTTAAGATCTTAAAAATAAATGTACAAACATTATAATATAACCTTTGTTTTATAGACATAAATTGCAGTGCATCC